TGTTTCAGTTGGAATTATTCCGCTTGTGTCCCACATATTTGGATAGACCTTTTTTCTATGGATCTTCAACATTCATAATATATGATACAACGTTTCTTCCTTACAACATTCTTACGTCTAGCTGTAGACTACATGCTATAGCAATAGTGTTAAAAGTATTTAATACCCACAGTCCTCATGAAAATACTGGCTCGGTTTATTATATTCACTAATTAATTATTGTGCCACTGTGTCTTCAGCCTAGACCGAAAGACGCACAATTAAAACCACAATGGTCGGTCCACGCTAAAAAAACTGAAGGAAATAATTTGATTGTCTCTCCTACCAATTAATGGACAGCGTGGTCTGGCGGGAGAGCGCATGACTGCTAACTCGAAAGTCACATGACTGCTAACTCGAAAGTCACATGACTGCTAACTCGAAAGTCACATGACTGCTCACTCTAAAGTCACATAACTGCTAACTCTAAAGTTACATGACTGCTAACTCTTAAGTCACATGACTGCTAACTCGAAAGTCACATGACTGCTAACTCGAAAGTCACATGACTGCTAACTCGAAAGTCACATGACTGCTAACTCTAAAGTCATGATTCCAGACTCGAGTTTGTGGTTCGTCCTTGAGTTTACTCAGCTCTAATGCGTACTTTACTTACGTTATATAAAATATAAAGGCGGCTCTGGCATAACATTAACCACACTATCCCTTCATATGGCGAGATCAGAGAAACAGGTGAACTCTGTTTCATCTACTCTATTAAGCGCCAGATCCTAAAGAGTAACTCACTAACCCATCAACAGTAGATTAACAAACACAAGATGCCAGCACACCATTTGGCAGCAATGCATTACAGTTTTATCATCTTGTATTATTTGAGTCTAGTTGTGTATTTGATAATATAATCTAGTAATAGGCGAATCTAGTTATAAAGTAATTCAAGCAGCTAGGCAAAAAAGGAACCTATCGTAAACTTGCAACAACTTGCAAGAAGCTATAGTCACCAAAACACCAGCTATGAGTTTCTACTATTTTGAGGACAGAAAGACTTGCAACTGCAGTTTTCTAACACAAATCTAGAAATCTAAACCCACGATCCTTTCTGTGAAGCCAGAGATTACCTTTCAAACAAACCTGCCACAATTTGTTTTCAAAGAAAACGCTTTTAAAATCAAACTCCTCACTAACTGATAACTTGACAGGCTCCCCCGTTCTCTCTAATTCTGCCTCATGTTTGTTTTTGTTTCAGATATTTAAAAAAAACAGAATATGCTTTAAAACACAGCCACAGAGTCTATGAAACTAGAGCAAAAAATGTTTTGAACTTCCCTCTGAAATTTGAGTTTGGCTGCACCCCTTCATGATGTTTGCATACAACTTCAGTTTTTTTTTAAAGTTTAAAACACAACCATATCCATTTACACCTGATAATGTTACCCTCCCACACATAATTTGGGAATAAATCCTATAGAATATCCTGGGTGTGAGTCTCGAGGCTTATATGGTGTCTAATTTCACGTGCTATTTTCTCAGGCATACTCGTCTGCCGTGGGCCAGAATGATCGTCTGCCGGCGTATGATCACAGGGCCATTTCAAGAGAACAGAACTCTGTATTTCAAAGACTGAAACAGCCGAGAGAAACAGACAATACCGATGTGTGTAGCGCTGTAGGCTACCAGACGCGGATAAGTGGCGATATTTTTGGAAAGAGAACATGTTCCTTGTGAATTGTTCCCCTTTGTTCCGTACGTAAGTTAACATACATCACAAACCACGCATGCGCCTTAAGTGTTCAGCGCTCACATATCAATAGCAGTAAAAAAAAATGGTTGTACTATAGACGGCTTGAATCAAACTTGTGTGTGTGGGGGGGGGGGGGGGGGGGGGGGGGGGGGGGAAGAAAGAATCCGGATGTTGGACAAAAAGTGAGTTACTTTTCCTTTATATTAAGGTCAACGACTTGATGTTTTACCGTGAATCAAGAAAATTGATATTGTTAAGTGTCTTGTTGGCGTATCAAGATCAAAGCCACGTTTGTTGAGCTTCAGCATCAATAGCCTTATAATGGTTTTAACCGTTCAGTATAAATACACATGGCTTTAGATATAACCCCAACAATAATCCAAGCTGGGTCTAATCCAGAAACAATCACAAAACTGATGTCCCATTAACCTAGTTATCATTTCAGCCAATCTTCATTATAAAAACAACCCACTTTAATCCTAACAATAACTGTAGAGCCGTCTAATTCAGGCTGAGGTCGTTCACCTTTTCTTAAGTAAATAAACCTATGCAATATTCTAGAATCTTAGAATCACAGTGAAAATAACCTGCTGCCTAGTCACGTATGTGAAATGCTACACAGAAATTTACATGAAACTTTTGTATTGCAGTGGTGTTGTAGACCACGTAAAATCAACTTATGATCAGCATTTGAAACTTGTGTATAGTCACCCCCCCCCCCGGCTCATTTCAACATAACCAGCTGTTAGAATGAAACCTGGTTAATTGTGACACAAATGGCCAGTCTCCAGTCCCCCCTCCCCTCCCTACCCCCGGGAAGAAGAAGGCACCACGCTATTTATTTAACAAAACACATCTCTGAAGCAGACGAGACGAGTCTAGCAGGCGTCTGCCAGCCATCTACCTGTAACAGGTTAAATGCCAGGCTAATCCTGCAGGGGCGGATATCAATGGCCGGCCTTCACACCCCACTACGTCTATTTACCCCCCCCCCCCCCCGCCTCGTCGTAAAAAAAAAAACCCAAGCGTCTCCACGGAGATTTCATCTCCGTCCAACTAGTGAGTCTCGGATTATCTCCCCTGACTGGCGATAGATTGTCCCTATGATCGTATTCTTTTTCCCGACGATTTCCCCATCCATCACGCGGGACTATGGTGGTCGGTGGGAGGGAGGGGGTGGTGGCGTGGGAGGGGGTAAAAGTTAAGACGACCAGGGCGTTAGTTAGCTCAGATTTCACACGGGTGTACCTCATTAAAACTAGCTTCATGCCATTAAAAAGAGCTACGTCTTTCAGAATTTCTCGATTACAGTGTGCTTGAGGTTTTTTTTTCTTAAAAATAAATATTATCGTTACTTTCTCCTTTCCCGTTGTGGATGGGCAGAAAGAATGAAATAGCTTAGCTGCCGGTTGAAAGGGTGGGGGAAAAAACCGGCTTTACAGCAATAAACAATAGTTCCGGTTACAGAACCGGACAATGAATACGGATGGGATTAAAATCTGGCCGGTTGAAAAGTCAGATAATTATAATAGCACGTGAGGCTGGGCCACGCGGGGCCGCTTATTTCTTACGGCTGGTGGTAATTGGAATATGAATGTGTGTCACCTGCATGACATGGCATTCCGCCCCTATGACATATGACACGTGGGTGATGTATAGTGGAACGATGACATGTGTATACAAAAATAAAAAAATATTTCTATTTAAGTGGGGGGAAAAAAGTGAATGGTAGTATTTTTTTTTACTGGAGTTTCAAAACAGGTTTTAGAAGGGAGGGAAGGTGAATTCACTGGAGGGGGAGTAAGGTGGTGTGTGTGTGTGTGTGGGGGGGGGGGGGGTGGGGTGTCAGGGAAGCGGGTATAGGTATGTAGGAGAGGAAGAGGGGGTCACTTTATTTTGCTGGATGTGACGTTTTTCTAGAATAACCAGCAGTATTAATGAGCTTTCGTTAAAGTGTTTCAAACAAGTTTTTATGGAGGAACACAATCTTCGTGTTCTTAAAAAAACGCTAATTGTCACAATAACACAAATAGTCGTTTTAGTTGTTTAGTCTAGACTCTGGTTATTTTTTTTAGATTGTAAACAAAAATGTACATTTTCGAACCTGATGGTTCCATTGGCAAGTGGAGTAGAGTTCACCTGTTTCGTTTATGTGTTTAAAATTTATATTTTGAGCACGCTCAGCTCTAATAAGTACCCAGCTTAATTTTAACGGCTGCTATGTCTACCACAAAAAAAAAATAATGGGATTTTGGTCAGTGTGTAGAGGCCACACCGCCAGGCGGTTCTTAGGTTCGTAGGTTCGGGTCCCACCTAGTCATTAATGTAGGTCGTAGGTTCGGGTCCCACCTAGGCATTGCTGTGAGTCGTAGGTTCGGGTCCCACCTGCACCATCCCCTCCAGGCTCCTCCCGCTGTGTAAACTCCCCCCCCCCCCCCCTCCTCCCACAACAGTACAGTGACAGTTGAACTCATCAGTGGCGACCAATAATCGATGACGTCACACACTTGACAACAGACGAACACGACTTAAGAAATCTAACAACTGGTCGATCGCACCTGAACTAACAAGCCACTTATACAACAAGTACATAATTGCTTCAAAAGTCGATAGCTGTTGGTGACTATTATTTGAAATTGTGTAATTTTTTTTTACAAAAACATTGTGTTAGTTGGCTTTGTGTATGTTTGTAGGTAGGGGACGTAAGTATACATGTTGTGTGCGTGTGTTTGTGATGTTGGTGTGTATGTGTAAGGGGTAATATGTATGCATCAAGGTGCTACACGTGTGTGTGTGCGTGTGGTATGCTTGTATGTATGTGTTTCAGTAATGCAGCTTAGAATAGGCTTTTAATATTTTTTCTACCAGGTTTGCCGCCAAGGGCGTCTGCCCCGCCCGCCCTCCCCTCGCTACGCCTCTGGATATGTATGCATTTGTGTTATGTATAAGCTTTTTTGGAATTTCTGTGTGTGTTTTAAATATTTGAGTGTATGGATGATCTGTTTGTACGTGTTTGTGATAATATCAGTGTTGTTGAGTGTTGAATTTTGCATTATTGGGGAAAGGGGTTCTACTCGTATTCCAACTTACGATTATCTCGACGATAATAAACTATACTACACGGGATGGGTTGATTATCACAGAGGTCCTTCCACCTCCCCCCCCCCCTAACCCTAACCAGCACCACCCACGTTGCTAAAAAGGCACCAGCTCTCAAGGACAGGCAGCATTTAAACGTCTCCAACCGTCCTCTACTTACCGTAGACTTTGAAGGTTATGCCGCAGGCTCTGAAGAGTGGCGCCACCTTCTTGTGGAACAGCCTGTTGGCTGTCTTGCTGCCGCTCCTGGGGTTGATGAGCACCAGGTAGTGCTTGGGTCTCTGGCGTTCTGTGGGAGGAGACAGACACATCAGTGGTGGGAGGAGACATCAGTGGTGGGAGGAGATTCACTTTTAAAAAATAGTAACAAAACTAAGGGGCGGACACAGGCAGAAATCAAATTTCAACAGTAGAATGAGGAGATTCAAACAAAAATCGTATTCGCCGTACATCTTGAAATAACATTATTAACTTGTTGAATCCTTGACATACAAACCCCTATTACACTTCAATCCCTTGCCATCAAACCGCAGCCACGAACCCCTCTACCCCGACCCCTGCCAACAATGCGACCCCGGCCATCATCTCGGATCAGGCTATGATCCCAGCTACTGTCACGATCCCATCCACCATTCCTACCCCTGCCACCATTCCCACCCCTGCCACCATTCCCACCCCTGCCACCCTTCCAACCCCTGCCACCATTTCCACCCCTGCCACCATCCCCACCCTGCCACCATTCCCACCCCTGCCACCATTCCCGCCCCTGCCACCATTCCCACCCCTGCCACCATTCCCACCCCTGCCACCATTTCCACCCCTGCCACCATTCCCACCCCTGCCACCATTCCCACCCCTGCCACCATTCCCACCCCTGCCACCATTCCCACCCCTGCCACCATTCCCAACACTGCCATAGACCCTCCCAAGTGATGTCTGAAAAAGCTTAAGATCCACAGAGTTTTGGAATTTCCGTTGGCGGAAAAAAACAAACAAAAAAAAAACCCGCTATTTTCTGCCACTTAACGTGGCACTCAGCAGTCACTTGAGTGACCAGGTTTTTTCCCCAAGGACAACTGTTTGTCATACCAAAGACAGGAAAAGGAAGTTTGTAAATGCTTCTGCGCACGCACACTGGACCACGGGTTAAAGATGGTGTTACCAGGAAAAGTTGGATCTAACACGAAGTGAATGAGATATACAAACTAGGTAGGTGGGCAAGCGCATTGACAACATGCATATCAACATTCAATGAAGGAGGGTCTATCTTCGTGTATAAGACGAACACTATTTTCAGGGGGATAATGTAACATTTTCACGAATGTTGTCAATATTTACATATAAGTTAAACAAAGGAAAATAATCTTTAAGACAAGCTGTAATTACCAGTTGTGGGTTAAAAAAGGTACCACATAAAATGGATTAACAGCAAAAATAGGTACGGTGTAGATAGATTAATAACCATTTCTGTGAAGGTGTTTTCTTATTTAAAACAAGTGGTTGTGGGTGTGGGTGTGGGGGCGGAGTTGAAGGTTAAAATTCTTATTTTAATACGCCTACTGATGCAATAAACTGCAAAATACGTTTTTTTTTTTTTAAATTTATTTTTTTTAAACACAATCCATCTGATTAAAAACCATCCCAGAAAATACTCCATCACAAGATGTCAACATGGTTTTCATTTAACGGTTAAAATCTCGTTCTTAATCAGCCCAGGGATCAAATCACGAGGAAGGCAGGGAGGAAGAGAGAGAAAAAATAACGGCCAACAGATTTTAAACTGCCATCAAAATTCTTTGCCCAGCTTGAAGATGGAACACACACCTACACACACACACAGATCCACACACACATCTACACACATACACACACACAGAGCGAGAAAACCTAGCCCCGAGACTACAGCTTAACACATTAAAAAAAAAAGATATTTAAAAAAAAATTTCTGCCCGGCTTGCCAATGCCACAAGTAATAAAGATAGCGTTTATGTTGAACTTAGGAAGATGTGAGCAGCACCGTTATGTGTATGTGTATGTGATGATCTTCAGTCCTTGTTGTACACAAGAGGCCGTTGTACAACAGGGTGACTCACATTCATGCATGAATGCATATGGGGTTTATATAATCGAACTTAATGTTTTTAAATTTGTTCGAGCTATACTTGGTAGGATAACACTAACAGACAGCAATACATTCTAGTCTTTTATACTGTGTGCACATTTCTATATTACGTATATATATATATATCTATATTTTGTAAATATTTTTTAATTGCGTACATATATTCAGATTACCGTATATATATATATATATATATATATATATATATATATATATATATATATATATATATATATATATATATATATATATATATATACATATTGCGTACACATATGTCGCACTAAATATGAACCAATAGTTCAAGTATAGTAAGACCCACGTAGTTGTAATTTAACTGCAAAGATTTAATTAGCGATATTTTTCCCCAAACAAGTTTGACTGTATGTTAGTTGACCTACTACCCCAGATAAGAGTGAAGAACAGTGGTGTAGTGTCTTCACCTGAATAGAGGCTAGAGGCATTTAACAGAGCCTAACCAGAGGCGTCTTAGAGAGCCTTCATGCCGCTCGGCTAAGATACAATCAACGATGGTCTTCAAAAGAGAAGATAACTTTAAACCACGAGAAGATAAATCTAAATAGCTATGAACCAGGAACTCATTCGGATAAGTTAAAAAAATTTCATCCGTAAAAAAATAATCTCATTAGAGCGTCGATTAAAAACCGGTTTGTGAAAAAAAAAATGAATAGCAGTCAGTTTGAGGGTGTGATGTTTCGTACTAACGCCACTTCCGGTATGCCAGGTAGAATTACGTATGTGGTGACATATGTTGTATCATTCATTCATTATTTCCCGTTCATGCCCAAGACACATTGGGCAGATAAAGTAGCGTTTATCTGCTTCAGAGACCTCGAAAGATGAAGGAATAGCGTGGTCAGCACTATGCTCAGCCACCATTGTTTCAGTAAAGTAAGTTAGGTACCCATCAGAGCTGGGTGGACTCTCGGGGTAGGAGTCTAGCTCTATAGTGCTAGGCCAAGACGTCCTATATGTGTTGTATATGGCACTTTATAAAAACAACAAGTCTTTTCATGTATTACTGTAGTTGCAAATAGAAAACAAACACCTACAATCTTCAATATAAAATTATGTGATCTTTATTAAAGTACGCCATTAATTGTTTTGCGTAACTGGCTGACTCCATATATATATATATATATATATATATATATATATATATATATATATATATATATATATATATATATATATATATATATATATATATATATATATATATATATATATATGAACTCTAATTTAGATATTTAAACTGACTGACGTCATCTTTAACGAAGACGAGTTTTAGATCAACATGTTCCCCTGCTAAGTCCAAGACACCAACGCCACAGTAATCTGCCGTCCACCGTACTTCTCATCAACCCAGCAGCCACCTATTCCCCTGGTGAGCACGTCTTTAGATCCCGAGCTTCGCCTGTTTGTCCGGCGTCACAATGCACGCAGCCTTTCATCCTGGTGCCACTGCGGACCGGTTCCTTAATCCGTGTCGCGAGCTTAGCTAAGCTGATTGTCTGGTACAGGCCGCCCGATGGAAGCCGTTCAGACTAAATGTTTCCGGTAATTTGTGCGGAACGGATCTCATTTCTCGGACCTGTTGACCTTCCGGAGGGCGGACTTTCTTTATCTGGACCTATTTCCTGCTAAATTAAAGTCTGTCCGAGTTAAAACGCACGGGTAAACGGTACTCATTGTAATCTGTACAAAGTACCGAAGAGAAATAAAATAGCTATTTGTTAAGGTAATTTTTTAAAATAAATTCAAACTATAATTTATTACATTTTTGATTATGAGGCTCATCTAACAATGTTTTTTAATTATATAATTTAATACAAATACGACTTTTCAAAAATACTTATTTTCATTGGTTGAAATATTTATGGTTTAAAATACTGCTTCGAGCTTACGATTCTCATGCACACTGAGCAGAGAAGGTAATTTGCAGATAGTTTTTTTTTGACTCTCTGCGATATATTTGACGCTTACTTTAATCTTTCAGATGGTTGTAAATAATTACTTTCCTCTTCTCCATAAAACAGAAGTCATACTTCATGTTAATATTAAAATTAATTACTATCTGAATCGCGATGTCACTTAAAAAATTAAATATCCTAACTTTTATGGCTATGATGTTTAATAAATGATTATTTCGTTTTTACTTTAATTAAAAAGAAAAACGCGGCCATAATTATTTTTATTGCCATAATCTAATCACAAGCTTAATTAATGGACTCGAAAAATGTCATTTCTATCGGCCTTTTACGCCAGTTGTTTTTTCCCCTTATCTCTCGTTAGAGCCTCATATTTCTCTCCCCTTGACACAGTTTACTCCCTTTGTAGCGATCTCGCGAGCTGTTATTTTTAGTCTTAATCAGCGGGAAAACTCAGACGGGATTTCCCGTTAGCCAGGAGGGCTGGGAGATCCGACTCTAATCGACCACATCGCCTCTACAGGGATGTTGGGGGGGGGGGGGGGGGGGGGTATAAATATTGACACCTCCCTAAAAAACAGGGGCATATTCCCAAGTTGTCATCTTCGTGTTTTCATTCAATAAATATACAACACGAAAAAATAATTTGAAGAATAAATTAATTTTTTTAGTGTTGATTAAGTCGTCTACTAGGCGCCAATGTCTACAATGTCTTCTAATAGGAAGCCGGTACCCATTTGAGCTGGGTAAACTCATATTTTGTAGCACAAGCTAAACTCATATACGAGCAGTAGCTTGTGTCTCGTACTAAATCTCAACGTAAGCCCTTCTGATAAACTCCATCCTAGGTAGCCCTTCTAGTCAAGTTAGCTGAAGTTAGCCCTTTCTATTCTCCAGCCTTATTATATATCGCAGCTAACAGCCCTTCTAACTATCAAGTCTAGAAGATGTTCTAGGGAACCATATCTCGCCAAATTAGCCCCTTTGACTATCAAGTCTAGCAGCCCTTCTGATGAACACTATCGAGCCTAACATTAGCCCTTCTGATCAACACTATCAAGTCTAACATTAGCCCTTCTGATCAACTCTATCAAGTCTAACATAAGCCCTTCTGATCAACTCTATCAAGTCTAACATTAGCCCTTCTGACGAACTCTATCAAGTCTAACATTAGCCCTTCTGACGAACACTGTCAAGTCTAACATTAGCCCTTCT